CCCTGCTTCCTGGTCAGATAAAAGGACAAGCTTGAAGAGTAATATATAGCTGCCTCAAAGAAGCATATGGGAACTACTTATAGCACAACAGTGACTCTGTTTGTATATATGATTAATTTGGCATCAGCAGTGATGGTGAATTCTAAAGTCTGATCTACCCAACACAATAAGCCCCAAGATGATTTGTTCGGTTTCAGCTCAAACCCAACCAGTGTTGTTTGCAAATCATGATTTTCTGGCTCCATGTGCTGCATAAACCCAGCTGCTGTGGAGTAGCCAACAATCTTGGCTTAATGTGATGTACAAGCCCAAGCACTCATTGGGTAGGGGGAAAATACTGCATCATCTGAAGGAGCTGGAAAAGCCAAGGTTTCTTGATCCTTTGTTCAAACCCAGGATTATCTTCTTGAGCTCTTCAAAGCAATCGGCACTATTAAGCCACTGTGTTCGCATTCTGTGCTAAGGCATTATCTGATCTGTTTGCCATTATAGTTAATTCAATAAACCATAGTTAAACAACCCTGGTTTTCCATTATGTGAACCCAATATTCGAGTGGATTCAGTTGAGAAAGTATTGATTTCTTTGACTGAGTCACATTCAAGTAACACATTTCCTAAATTCCAAGTAATGATTTGGACATCAAAAAAAAGCTGTAAAGGAATTCCAAGTTGACCTTGGGGAAGGTTCATACCTTCCCCAAGGTCAACTTGAAATTCCTTTACAGCTTTCTTTTAATGTCCAAATCATTACTTGGAATTAATTGAGCCATTAAGGAGGGATTTGGAGAAGAGATTACACAGTCCAGAAATTGAAGGACATGTGAGAAATAAACTCAGAATAACTCCACCTTGATTTTGATGGGATAGAAAGAAACTTGGACAGGCTTTCAAGATTCTGTTATTGCACCCCAGGATTAAAGCAATATTCCTGGAATCTCTGTGGTGTCTATTTCTGACCTGACCTCCCTCAAAGGGCTGACACATGCCTTCAACACATACTTCCCTTCTTTGCTTCCACCTTATCTCCAGCCCCCTCATTTCCAACAACCTTCATTTGTCATGTTCACCACAGTTAACACTACTCTGGCTTGCTCCAAAACCACAGCTTGGATCCCCCTCATGCAACCCCATGGAGTTTTAACCACCGAGAACTTTATTTGGGATGTCCCCGGGGAACAAAGAACCCATACCTACAGTTACAACAAACATAAGAATCCACATGCATGCAAGCTAAGAAAATGTGATGCCTCAACTGTTCAAGAGTGGATTTTATGTTAAACAAGTTCCAGATTCAAGTCAGCATTCATTATTCCCATAATGATTTCTTTTCTTACACAGGCAGCTGGTGTTTGCCTGAACTTGACTTCTCAGAGAAACATTATGTGATTGATTGCCTACTGAACTCCAATACACACATACCAAATTTCCTGATATAATTATATGCTATTGGAAGTTCAACTCTTGAAATGATTTACGTAAAACTTCTGATTGGATCAGAGTCCTGTTATTGGCTTTCTCTATATCATTATGATTAACACATTTCATAACTCTTTATCCATTGTTCGGTGTGTCCCCTTCCCCCCCATGACAGCTGTGCATCAGATATTTTTGTTCGTTAATTATAAGGTGTTTTTGCAACAACATATATAGAATTGTGTGGCAGGGGGACAGATAATCTAGACATTTAGTTTCAAAAAAACTGAATGTGCACAAATTGATCGACAATCTACCTTTTTAAGAACCTGCAAATCTTAAAGCTACCGGATAAACTCAGATTTCACTCTATGTCAAGTTTTCTTTTGAACCCTGTTTTCTCAAATAAGTAAATCAGGGCTAGTTTGCACATGAATGCTAAGCCATATTTGGCTTAGTCTTTGACATCACCCTCAGCCAGATACAAGCTATGTTAAAGCTAAGTGTGATGGATGAAATTACCATATAGTTCATGAAAACTTGCACAACTAAAGCAAGTGGAAAGAACATCACAGTACAAGGAAGTAGGTATGAGACAATGCTTCTTCGCAATCAGTGTTGTCCAAACTTGGCCACTTTAAGATGAGTGGACTTCTAGAGTCTACTTGAGTTGAAGTCTACTCATCTTAAAGTGGCCAAGTTTGGACAACACTGTTCACATTTTTTTCTGGCACTATCTGTCCAGGTAGTACAATGCAGGTCACCCATAACCCAATCTGGACAAGTGAAAGATGACAGATCATCATTATCCTGATTGCTGGGAATGATGGGAGTCATAGTGGCTGAGAAGGATGGAAAGGTGCAACACTAGAGAAGGCAGTTTGAGGGCAACCTCTCCTGTTATTCTTTAGCTTTCTTGAGCCAATGCTTCTATGCTCACTTTGTCAGTTTGCATCGGTGGGAAAGTGTTTGCTAAACAGAATGTTCATATAGTGCGATCAAATTGGCCACAGGCAGGTTCTAGGGAAACCAAGCATCTACACAACAATCTGTGTAAAACATTCCATCATGGAACATTGCAACCCTGAAACAGATTGTTTTGACTTGAGAATAGGTCACTCCAAGTATTCCAGAAAAGGCACCACCTCAAAATGGCCAATTCTGAGTGTTCCAACAGCGCAGAAACACTCAGAATGTGCTATTTTAAGGTCAGATCACTTCCAAAACATGTGGAATGGCTGTTTTGAGTTCTGACTGGCATATTTTGGGGTGGAAAGTCCTGGAACATTTTGTTTCCCCATGCAACTCATCTGGTAATGAGAATGCAAATGTGAGACGATTTCAAGGATAACTCTAGCTTGGGAGTTGGGGGAGGTATATTAGAAAGGCCTCTTGTTATATTTTCTCTCGCTGAAGCTACAAAGTAATTGCTTGCACTTCTTGACAAGTTTAAGCATCAAAGACCCTGGGGAAAGAAAATGTGGAGCAATTACAAGATGCAGTGATGATAAATCTCAGCTATTACTAATTCTTCAGATTATCTGCTGATGCAGACACGCATGACATCCAAAAGTCATACTGAGGAGCCCAACTCTCTGGAGTGGCTTAAAGATATCGGAAGTGTAAGCAAGAATATTGCAGACAGCGCATCAGAGAAGGTGAAGATGTCACCTGCTGCATCAGAAAACACTTTTCCCCCTTAATAGGTATGTTTCTCAAGAGGAGAAAGCAAATACTGCTGGACAAACTGAGTTAATTCCTTGAGACTAGGGCTCCATTCAGACATAACTATGGCTTGCTGAACAAATCACAGCCGCCTGGTTCACACGTAACACTAAGTTTAGCTCAGCTTAATTCAGTTCAGTTCTTTATTATGGTCAATGATCAACGCAAATAACACTAAACTGTAATGAGATTTTCATGTCAAATTAAGCCAAAAACAAACCACATGACAGCGTAGCACAGACAGCCTTTGCAAACAGGGGTAAACTTGGATTTATTTTAAGCAAGAGCGTACGGCACAAGCAAGAGTCAGTCTTGCAAATAAGTTAAGTCACTTGACGACACTTTATAGAAAGAGATTACTGTTTCTAAAGAGCGTGCCATCTGAATAAACCATAGGAAAACTGCAGAATGAGAAGGGAGAGAGCGAAAAAAGGATTAAGAGTGGAACAATGGTATAACATTTCAAGATTGTCAAAAGCAAATCAACTCAGTAAGTTTAGCAAACATTAGGGCAAGGGAGCCAGGAAGAGAGCCTTCTCTGCTGTTGCCCCCCGCCCTTTGGAATATTCCCCCCTGGAGGTGCAGCAGGCCCCCACTCTCCTGGCTTTCCAGAAAGGATTAAAGACCTGGCTCTGCCAGCTTGCATGGGGCAACCAGAATCTTACCCAATCCTGGAGGTGGCTGGTGCCCTGATGACACTCCCTGAGCTGCTTGCCAATTTAACATCGATTCTTGGATTATATTTATATATATATATATATCCCCTCCCTCTCATATCCCACTGAATCAGGGAGGAGCCTGCCTGAGTCAACGGCTATCTTGTTTCCCAGGTTTTAAGGAATGTTTCAGCCTTCTTTGTTTATGTAATGGTTCTCGCCTATTTTCCTCAAGGTCATCTCCTTAACTCTCTACAATACCATTCTCTTTCAGAACCATCCCTCTTCTCAGGGAGGCATTTACCACCACATGGACCCACCCATATGCCCTCTTCCTGGAGGCTTAACCAACTAGGAGGAGCAGGGGTCTAATATATAGGTGGATATACCCATACCCAGGTCCAATGTATGATACACACCCTTCCAACTCTGATTTCAGGCAGCAATTATTACAAACCAGAAAATGACTTTGCAAATGACATTAGTCTCCTGTAGATATCAACAGTTAAGCCCAGATTCAGTAGAGCCAATATGTACAGGCAGGCACCACATCAAATCCAGACAATTTTATCTTCTTACCTAACTCTGCGGCCTAGAAAGTTGCATATTACTCTCAAACCAATGTCAGACTAAGGCACCAACTGCATTACTCTGACCTGACCTACCAATAAAGTTAGGGTAATCACCACTTGCAAATTTCTCCTACACCTTTATCAACTACATAGCAGTCCAGAATTGCTTCAAGGTTTGGCAATTCAAATTCAACTCCTGCCAACCCCCCTGTTTGTTTTTCTTAAGGATCTTCTCCAGATGTTAGTGGTGTAGAATCTTACAGATGTAGCCCCAGTAACTAACTGGATGGTTTCCACTTATCTGAATATGGGGCTATGTGACTAAGATCCCATAACTCCTGGCTAGCCTGGGTAGATTTGTGTGGAAAAGCTATACACGTCATGGTAAGGTGTGTCTGTTTTATGACGTCACCAAATTGTGTGTAAAACCATCGCTGCAGTATGATAATCCCTGATAATTAGCATGCAATAAATCACCTCTTTTGAAAAATACTAGCTAAAACAGAAGGCATAGATCAAGCAGACATTTGTAAAATAAAGGTTAACCTTCACAAGGAAAGACGATTAAAGAATCATTAAATGTTATGACACAAAGGTGACTTAGGCTTACTTCTCCTACATAAACCTTTTTTACCTCAATCAGCTTCCTTTCATATGAGTTTGCTCGTTCTTCGTTGTTTTCAACTTGCTTTTGTTCAAGAATGGAAAATTCACTGTCTGTGTTCCAAAGATTTGGCAAGACTGGAAGCAAAACAAAATAAAGAGTGCTGTCAGTAACTAGAGATCAGTTTGACTAGAAATAAGATCCCTTTTTCAGATTTTTTCAATAACTAAATAAATTCACACCAGATAATTTTAAATCTAAAAACACACAATGAAATTTGTCATTCTGAGCCCAACGTCATATGCTCAAAATATTCTGCCTAACGTTTTCTAGCATTATCATGCACAGGGATGAGGAATCAGTGGTCATGCTAATGACCAATCCCATCATCTTCACCATGACTAGGCAGGAGTACAGGTGGGCAGAGTCCAACTGTATCAGGGTGAATGTTAGCTTCCCACTCCTGATTTAATGCTGTTAAATCTTCCTGGAAAAGACTGTAATGATCTGTGGGAATGACCTTGGGAGACAGGAGGAAGAGTTCAAAACCGTCATACAAAAGTTATCTCAGACCATAGGAGGGAGGGCATGGGAAGCATCTCAGAAGGGACCCTCCCTAGCTTTCGGGAAGGTAGAAGTAAAGGAAGGGAGAAGTGCTTTCAACTTGTAAGATTCTGCTACTGTAATCTTACATTAAAGGTAGTGTTAGTGGACTACCTCAAAGGGCTGACAAAGACAGACTCTAAGATCAAAGAATCTAGGGATGGAAGGGACCTTGCATGAGGAGATACCTACATCTTATCTTCAGGTATCATCATCTTCCTGTATATTTTATCCCTAGTAAGAAGGCAGTCAAAACCCACTCTGTATTTAAATATTTGCCAACTAAAATTTTGTGACTTTGGAAATCAGAGCTGACCTTCCAGCATTGTAGAAGAATCTAAGAAGTTTCTTCCTTTCATGTTGAACCAGGCCAAAGGAAATTAGCAGGAGTGCTAAAAATCAATTTGCTTAACCAAGAGCAAAAAAATTCTCCACCCCCTTATAGCTTAAAGCAATGAACTCAGCCGGTGGCTGTGTTTATATTATATGCTTAACCAGATTGCTGAATTAACCCATTTTCTGGGCTTACTCAGTACATCAAGTCATAAATCAACCAAATGGCCTTGATTCACAAGACAGTAATTCACACACACAAAACCACCAAGCGAAGTTAAAATTAACCACACTCAGTGTGGTCTTTGTCATGGTTACATAATGTTATGTATTCTATGAAGACAGGCACTCTGTAGGGCAGTGTTTCTCAACCATGACAACTTTAAGCTGTGTGGACTTCAACTCCCAGAATTCCCCAGCCAGCATGCTGGCTGGGGA